CTGATGTCGAATCTGTGGTCGATTGAACGAATTTATACTTTTCGTTTTTTACTTTCAAAAAGCTACGATTTGAGACGAGTTTGTGAGATCCTTTCTTCAAGAATAGGCACTTTGTGAAGTAAAAACCTTGGAAATTATTCGCAAAATACGACATGTTTGGTATCAAAATAAAGCTTGAATCCTCAGCTCTCGTTTGCCATGGTTTGCAATTGGATACCTATTAAAGCACAGGAATACCGTAGCAAAAAGTTATGTTTCTCTAAGTCCTAGCCTGAGAGAGCTTGGGCTTCCTGTGGTTTATATTTTATACAAGATATCCGCTGACTTGGCGAGCGGCGCATGGCCGAAATAGCGATGGTCAATACGGCGAAGGCAGCCAAGATCCTCCCTGATCACTGCTGTCAACTCCATCTTCTTCTTCGTTACTGTTTTTGTTATCAGAGGTTTTTGGATCTGGATGGTTTATTTACAAACTTGAAGGATATTTTGGATTGGACAAGTCAGCTGGTATCTCTTCATTCAGAAAATTTAGTGGTACATCAGCCGATTTATTCTAAGGAGAAAAATAAGTATTACCAAATGATATAAATGTAAGCAAATCTCGTTGTTCACCAAGTGAGTTATAGGCTCCCAGTTTCGGGTGTTTTGTATTGCTCAGGATAAGCCTCAATTTTATTTAGACTATTCATGCTTTCCAGGGACGCCGGAGAGGGAGAGTTGGGGGGCTCTAGCCCCACTAATAGGTTACTATCAATAGATGTCACTTCCGGTAATAATTGAGTTTTGACGGGGAGGGTCAATTGAAATACTCAGATACATAACAAGCCGCAAGCCCGTTTTTTTGGCGATAAGCGGAATTGAAATCCGCATACTTGTGGTGGGCGAGGTGTTTGTGCCACAGCAGGGTATCCACCTTAGAACGAAGCAGTGTTTACTTTAAGATTGTATTAGAATGATTATGTTGCTCTGCTATCCTCTGCCGGTACCTCCATGGTTAACAGCCGATTTTAATGAATTCGATCGCTGTAGATCGTTACTAAGTATACTGGACAGCTAATGGAATCTACACGATGCTATTTTGATCATGAAATTGATTTGTTGTTCGAAATATGCCGTCGAATGGTCAGCGTTTGGTAATGTACAACATGATTCTCGGTTCAAAGCTCACATTTTCGATCTAGCAGAAAATTCCAGGTAGATTATGGTACAGCAATGTTTCAAGAAGAACCTTTACTTAGTGTTTGATGGTATTGATCCAGGAATTTAGAGTATAGTTGATGATATATGATCGTATTCTAGGCCAAACGTCTAATAATATA